ATCTAATATGTAATATATATGGATTAAAGTAAATATAAATTCCTTGGATTGGTTTGATTTGGTTAAGTGATAAATGTCGAGATTTTGAAGACAGTAAATTAGAATATCTGAGACCTAAGAATACTAGAATAGCTATACCTTAGAACAGGGAGACGCAGGATATCGTAGCTGAAGAATCTCAGAACATGATTCAAACAAACATGTTCAGAATACTTCTGGATAGCTGCAAATAAAGTCCAGATCGCTATGAAGATCACCAACATTCACAACGGATCGGTATATACTCTAAGAAAACGAAGAAGAAATTTTTAAATAGTATTGGGTTTGGCACCTTTGATGTTGCAACAACAAAATACACTATTTTTAACACTAGACGCGCCTGTCGCTAACCATGATTCATCTCCTGATGATGCTAACTTGGCTAGTAAAACGTGCGCCCAGTATTAAAAGTAAACCTTATGAGTGTATTTTGGCGAATTAGTGTTGTATTATGCATAAAATTCTGGGATTTGTATAATCGCCTGAATTTGTCTAATCGCTTTGAATAAATTTCTTACCAGTCAACACTAAAGAATGCTATAGTAGATTTTATTTAACGTTGGAACTAATTCGATTCTATAGTAAAACCAAAAACTTAAAACGTAATTAAAATTTTCCACTTAGTTATACCGGCACCATTAAAATAAAAGAACTTTTTTCGTGTTAGTTGTAGCTTCTTTTAGAAGAACAAATAAGAGAAACGTCAGTTTGGTAGCCAGTTGAAAAATTACTCTCATTTATATCTCCTTGGGAGGTAGTAATTAGATGTTACGCTTTTTAAGTTGAAATTCTATTAGAGGCGCTAAGGCATACCAAAAAATACTAATTAAATATTTGTTTGGAAGGTTACACCCACCAAGAAAAAAATTGAAAAAATTTGTATATTAATTAAATAAAGTTCTCTTAATGAAAAGTGAAAATATATTAAGTCAGTATCCATATGTTTTTTATAAGTCAGTATCCATATGTTTGAGAGAACTAAAAAATAGAATTTTAGAAAAAACTGCTAATGTAGAAATAATAACTTTATTTGGCACTGTCTAGCCAAATTAGGGTGATATCTAATGAAGTTATTTCCATGAATATTTTGTTTGAGAGGGCCAAATAACGACATAATAACACTTAGGTATATGCTTATGTTAATAAAATGATATAAAAAAGTCAATATCATTTTCGCATCTAACATACAAAATAGATCTCTAATTTTCAGACCCAGCATTATTATTTTAGAATCTGTACGAAATGAATTTTTGAGAGGTTTTTATTTTTAAAATATTATATTATACACTCCCTTCCCGGCTCCCAGATACTCTTATTTATGTATAAGATTACACAGGGTGTTCCTTAATGACATGGTAATATTTCTGTGGTACTAAGGCAGGACCTGATATGTCAAATAACGAAATAATGTTGACATATCTGGTTCTGCTTTAGTACCACAGATTTATTAAATTTTTGGACCTATTTAAAAAAAAAACTTTATTATGTTGTAGGATGTGTGCCCTAAATATCCTAACTTTTGAGATACAGGGCGGTAAAATTTAAAAAAAAGCTTCGCGAGATACTTGGACTCGACTTGGATACTTGGAATTATTAATACCTGTCATCATTGACATAAATTAATCCTTTGTTTCACCGGTACGAAAAACGGGCACCAAATTTTTACCTAATTTAAAGTTTTATATATTTTGTTCTAATGGGCCAATTTTGATATTTTTTTTAAGAAATTTGTAGCTAAATTATTTGAATTTTTAGTGTATCTTTCTAAATGAACGTTGTCATCTGTCAATTATACGAAGGGAAACAAAATGTTGATACGGAAACTTTGGCAGTATATTCTCCAGAGGAAAATATGTAAAAAGTTTGTATAAATGTATGTCCTAAAATGCTTAGTTTCGGAGATACAGGGTGTAAAAGTTTCATTTTTATTTCGATTTTTTCCAAATAATTTCTTAAGTAACGTCAATACTTGGATGAAAATTGGTGTCTGGATGTTTATTGACATGAGAAATTTGATTTTGATGTCAAATTAACTCCGATTTGTAGGGGACGCCACCTACATGCATTTTATCTGTTATGAAAAGTAATAACTTTTCGTCCGTACCTGTATAAAATGGCTGAGTGAAAAAATATACATTTTCGTAATTTTTTATGTAAAAAATATCTCTTGGTAAAAATCGCTAGAACCAACCGTTCTCAAGATATTAAGAATTTAAATAGTCAATACATCTCATTATTGACAAAAATTATACATGTTGAGTAGATAGTTATTTGACTGAAATGATAAATTTGGGAGCTTTTTATTATTTTAAATTAATCATAAATTTTTCTTGGAAAAAATGATGATAAAACAGTTTCTGTTGAACTTTCAACACAAAAACATTTCAAATTTATGATTTCAGTCCAGTAACTATTTAGTCAATATGTTTAATTTATGTCAATGATGACAGGCATTCATAATTTCGATTCCAAATATCTCGAGGACCATTACACGAAGCTATTTTTACTAAGGGACTTTTTTACGTAAAAAACTTCCTAAAGGTATATTTTTTTACTCTACTTTTTAGTAATTTTATACAGGTACGGACGAAAAGTTATTACTCTACAAAACAGTCAGTTAAGACACATGTAGGTGGCGCCCCTTGCAAATAGGAGTCACACTGACAACAAAATCAAATTTATCATGTCAAAAAGTCCCAGATACCAATTTTCATACAAATATTGATATTACTTCAGAAATTATTTGAATACAACCGAAATAAAAATGAAACTTTTACACCCTGTATCTCCGAAAGTAAGTATTTTAGGACTTACATATATATGAACTTTTTTGCTTATTTTTATCTGCAGAATATGCTGGCGAAATTTCCGGACCACTCTGCCAGTCAAACGAGCAAAATCTAGCCAACTATTTGAATGATTGTTGTCGCTCTGTATATGGTTAGTTTTATTTTCCGATATACCATATCTTAGCATCTTTCTCACCAAGTAACTACCAACTTACAACCCACGTACTCACAATTTTTCCCACCTTATCCCCGTTGTTCGGTTTTATCTCGCATTTCCTCTTCAGCGCAAAGTCGCCCCGGGTACTCCATCCATTGTTCCTTGTGTAATTTAATAATTATAACTCATCAACTTGTGCACACATAATGGTGTGCTTTATTACTTCTTGTCTTTCACTTGGACCGAAGCCTGTTTAATAAACGTCACGCCCGTTGGGTATAAACGTGCAATAACCCTTTTTACGTTTCAAATTGTTATTTTGTTATGTTGGTATACTTGGTATTTAGATTAAATGAAGATATGATTATAGAATCATTGCGTAAGAAAATTTTAAATAGTTGTATTCGTAATTGAGACCATTGATTAGGTTCTGTTTAATGCTATTGAAATTGTGTTAAATAATCTTAAATCTAAACAAAAAAGGTTTGATTTAGTTCCATCAGGTAAAAGTAGATTCTTCGATGTCTATCAACCTGTTCCACTGCGTCTTTCTCAGATCTATTATGGTCTTCTTCTGATTTTTAGGTTACATTCTCCACTTCCAAAAAATTTGCAACTTGGATACTGAAGATTACAGAACGAGATTTGGTATGTTAGTATATGACAAAAATTCGGATTTATTGACGTACTCGATTAATTGTTTTCGGTCACTTCCCGTTTCACCGGAAATGACTACAACTTTTGATTTTTAAATGGCACCCTCGGTATTTTATGTATTTTATTACTTTATTCGATAGAAAATGACACTCTGAATAGAATGATATATCATATGTCAACTTTTGACATTTTCGAATATGGTTTATTTGAAATTGCAACAAGCGGTTCATAACGAAATTTGACTCGAAACACCAAGTGTGTGGTATCAAATTATCCGTAAAAAATGCCTTTTCCAAATATGGTAATGAGCCACGTCAATAGTCCTTCTATTTGGAAAAATTGAGATATGATTAAAAATACGATTTGGGCATCTTTTAACCGGACAGTACAAGACAATAAAAATAAATTTGGATAGTTTTGTTTGTTTAGAAACTTTTTTATCTCTTGTATTTTTTTTATAAAACTCACCGATTTGAAATTAAAAAATAAAATGTAAAGCATTACATGTCAGGACTAAAAATATTTTTAGATTAAGAATCTAGTGATAATAATGATAATAATAATAATCTAGATAATAACGTATTGCAGTAAAAAGTGACAGCGGCCGACTAGATTTTTTCCTAAAAAAATTACAGCTGCCCACTAGATTCTTTATCTAAAAATGTTTTTTGTCCTGACATGTAATGCTTTACTTTTTATTTTTTAATTTCAAATCGGTGAGTTTTATCAAAAATTAATAATAAATTTTTATAAAAAAGTTTCTAAATAAACTAAACTATCAAAATTATTTTTTTTGCATGTGTTTGATAAGATTTTTCTTTAAATTTCATTAACAAGAATGATAGGGGTAGTTTATTTCAACCCCTTCCACTCATTTTAAAAAAGTGAATAATTAACCAGAAAGTGTGTTTTCATAACAGTAATGCTTCCGTAAAATTTCATTAGTCTATCTCTTTTCGTTTTCAAGATAAAAAATAAAAACTTTATTTTTCCGCCATCTTTGTACCGCGATATCTCCCTAATGGTTGAGTTTTGACCCAACGTTTATAAAGCAAACTATCCTTTATTTTGAACAAGGAATCACCCCCTGAAGTTTTTCGCATTTGTTTTGAAACACCCTGTATATAAAATATAAAAAAATCGTGGAAGATATCATATTATATTCAATAACTTTCAAACGGGTCGATTGCATGAAAATTCGTATCAGATCTTTTTTGAAGACTGTTCAATTTCCTAAAAGAGTGTGTATTGATTTTTACAAAACGCTGATTAGTTAGAACGGAATCAAATTCTAAAACCAAAAAAATTGTTTGCCCGTGTTAATAATGTGAAGAAAAATTACGTCATCATCATCATCATCAACCAGCTATCAGCCAAGTCCACTGCTGGACGTAGGCCTCCCTCGTTTGCTTCCATAACTCCCTATCTCGAGCTATTTGCATCCAGTTACTGTGGATACGCCTTAAGTCGCCACGCCATCTGGTTGGAGGACGGCCTCTGCTCCTGAATGCATCGTGTCTTGGTCTCCATTCTATAATTTTCTTCGTCCATCGGTCATCTTTAGCAATGCAATGCGCCCTGTCCAGTTCCATTTCAAAGTAGTTATTTTCTCTATGGCATCCATTAATTTTTGTTCTGTCTCCCCATACTTCGATATTCGGTACTTTGTCTCTCAGAGATAGCCTCAACATTGATATTTCCATTGCTCTTTATTCTGATTTTGCTTTCAGTTTTCTTGGTTAATGTTAGCGTCTCCGCACCATACGTTAGAACAAGTAGTACTCATTGATTGAATACCAATCAATCAATTGATTAGCATCAAATTACGTAATTTATCAAAATACTATCTTCATAGTTTAAAAATTCCGAATACTCTTAAAGATTTGTCAAGGCAACCGAATATTCGCGATTTCATTTTGATTTTTCCATGACTATTGAAATTATTATCACACTCTAAACCGATTTTTTTAGTCTTTGAACTGATATCATCAAATTTTATATTTTAAATACAGTCCTGAATTGTTTATTATAAAACCAATTATATGTAGTACCTATAAAAATTCATGTTAGTAAAATGATACCTGAACCTGGTAAGATCTCACTAAAAATGTATTCTCCGTTCCTCTCTCTAACACATGATTTCTTATGGATAATGTCATTTTTTTACTTTATTACCTCGAAATCAGCGTGCGACTGTCTGCTAATTTAAAGTACTCTAAACCATCTATAAATTTCTAAGAATTACACACGCGAGAGAATAAGCAAAATACGTATTTTACCTAGTAACAGCCTATTATAAATGAATATTTATTTAATGGCCTTAATTGATCCGAACCTCTAACAAAAATAAACTTTTTGTCTATACTCAACATCGATGATTATATAGAAGAGCATCAATGCCTTCCTCCGGGCGATATAGGTACAGGGCGATACAACTTGTAATAAATACAATCATTACAGAACAAGTTTAATTTATGATTGGGTCTTGAATAATAGTAATAAACAACAAACAAGTTCTGCAATGTGAGATTCTTATATGTCCAGATATAAACTTCAAATATGCATAATATATTTATGAGTTTCGTTAATAGGTAATCACATAATAAGCTAAATATTATGAAAATAATAATAAATTAGTAACGGCCTAGCTATATAAAAAACAGGTTCCTGATAGATTACCGAAGTTAAGAGACGTTGGGCGATGAGAGTGGATGGACGGGTGACCATCTGGAAATTATGTCGTGCTGTTGTTGGGGCAAGAGTGTAAAATCTATTGACACACACGGTCCAGACCGCATGAGATCAGATATCTCATGTGTAAAACATGTAATACCTACACCGAGCTCTACACCATCCCCGAAATAGTTTGCGAAACATTTGTGGAAATACTTTCAGAAGTAAACTCAAATATAAGCCCGCGTAAATTTGATCCCATGTGTCCTGAAATTGATCGAGACGCGCCGTGATTGGTTGTTTGCTTTTTAGGGTTCCGTACCCAAAGGGTAAAAACGGGAACCCTATTACCATAGTATAAGGAAACTAGTAGTTTTACTCCTTGTCAAATCCTTTGTTCTTTTTCTGCCACTTTATATGACCTTGTTCTCACCTCCCGTGACCACTGACGTAGCTGTATAGTCGTGGTCTATTAACTAGGCAAAGTATAGTCGTAGCACTCGCCATAGTTTCACAGATATGTATTTAGGAAAATATGAGTTCACAATAAAATAAAATAAAAAAATTGATCATCGAGTAAAAACTTGCTTGAAAACAGAATATTTTCACATTTCGCGTAGGTAAAAATTCTTCTGTATCTGAAAATTTTCTGATTGGAAGAAATGCGGAAAAAATATATAATGACATATTTTTATATTATTATCTATTTCAGAGATTTTCTACAACTTTTTTTTGATTTGAAACAAGTTTAATTTTCTGTACATAACTGGATTCGGCATAAAATTCTGCATATAGTACACCGTCTTTATTTAAAGCACACTGCGATGTGGCCATTCTATTTTTTATTTACTAAAACTTTGGTTAAAAACATTATATACAAAAGGTGATAAAAAACTAGAGTGAATATAACTTTATTAATACTTAAACACGAAGGCTACCAGAATAAATTCGTGTAGAAAAATTTACTTTATCGTATACAGGATATTTTTTAAGGCGTCACCAAAATCGTAATATTTAAAATATTGTATCTCATTTTTTTTAAATGCATCACCTTGTATATTATTTTTCTTTCAGATGTAGAATTAAAAGGTAAACATTTTTTGTATTTAAAGTGTTCTTAAATTTTTAGCCGTTTTGCAAATATTTTCTGTATTTCATTACATATGGGATTTCCAACGATAAAATATCAGACAAAGATCATATTAGGTGGCTTTGATAAAAATTTACTGTTTAAAGAGCCATATGTAATATAATACTGCGAATATCTGCGAAACCGTTAAAAATTTAGAAACCTTTTAAATAAAAAAAATTTCACTTTTTAATTCTGCATTTGACAGAAAAATAATATACAGAATGTGGCATTTAAAAAAATTGAGATATACCATTTTAAGTATTCCGATTTTGGTGACGCCATAAAAAATGCCCTATACAGGGTGTCCCAGAAATGAGTGCGTAATAAATGAGGCTCCAACATACGCGCATCCCCTCGGAGGGCCCGGGCCGCATTTCCATATCTATCACATGCTATCGCGAATCATGCAGAATCGGGCGATCCCGAACTAAGTTCTTATCTAGCACATGTCTTCTTAACTACTTAACTAGCACACGCTATCGTGAAAAAAACTTATTACTTTACACTTGTTCTTGTGCAATTTTGTAGTTGTGTTTTCCTTTTTATTTTGCAAAATAAAAATAACTGGAAATATGTGATTTTTCATTAGAGCATTAAATTTGACAAAAAGAAAATTTGCTGTATTGTCACTGGATTTCTGTACCATCAAATAGAAATAGAAATATGCTAGTTATAGCATCAAAAAGAGCATGAAAAATTATACTGGCCAAACTAGTTAACTCAAAATCACAAAAACTCTAGTTACCTAATGGTTGTATTAAGGGGACGATAAGGCAGCTGAGTTTCGAGAGGTGCCCGAAACTGCCACTTTTTTAAAATCACCCTGTAGCTCAGTAACTAAGAGGGCCATGACAAATCCTATTAGGGCATCTCTCATTTTGTCAAAAAGTAGCCGACTATTGTGAAAACCTATTCATAAGGGCAACAAAACACATGAAAATGGGATACCCTGTAGGTACAAGGTATTCCATTCGTAAAAAAATATCTTATTATCGCACCCTGCATACGAAGGGTATAAAAAATTGCTATAGCACTTAAATTCAATTGTTCTTGCTTCAAATAATATCGCGATTACCTGTGCTGGTTATGACGGCAATTCCCAATACTTCTTTCTTAACATATTCATGTTCCTATTTACATTGTTTATTTTAATTTAGTTAGTTTTGTTGTTGTTTTTTGTTTTGTTTTTATTTATTTGATATTTTATATGTTTTGGGTTACATAATTCTGTGTTGCAGTAATAAATAATACTATATAAAAATTAATTTGATAATGTTATTTCTAACCTAAAATATGAGTGCATATTATTCAGATTAGTATATAACTATTGAAATATGTAGGAGTAATAGGGAGAAGTGTCTAGCTCTAGCAGGCAATTATTAAGCTTGACCAATCAGGTTGGTTAGCGTGGTTATTTGGAGTGTGTTAATTCATTGGTTTTTGTCAAAAACTCTGACGTGATTGATCGGGCTTAATAGTTGCCTGCTAAGGCTAGACACAAGTGTAATAGGGGGCCCGGTAAAATTTTTGCACACAGGCCCGTGAGTCTGTTGTTACGCCACTGGGGTAAATTATAATAAAAAAACTAATTTGCCAGTCGATATCCTGAGGGATTTCTATAAAAAGACCATTTCTTCATTATATTAGCTGTATCCTTAGACTTGATAACGTCTAGACGAATTTGCAACAGGCTTTCCAAGTCGCATCAAGTGGGTCCGATGTTAAACTGTCGAATTTGAGGGCTTGAAGGCAGGTCTCAACATCTTCTTCCGATTCTAAAAGACGTATATCAAAATAATTAAAATGCCAAATAATAAAAGAACATTCGAATTTACCATAATCAGTTCCATGCCTCGACTTGTTACTATGTTTTTCTTCTTTTTCTTTTTTATCTTCTGAAACATATTTGGAAGCCGCTGTTTTAATGAATACCCACACCAGAGATCTCACACAGCGGAATTTGATTTGACAACACAACAAATTAACTACAATACGATAGGACTTCTATTTAAAATATTTAAAATATTGAAGAGAACACTTACCGCTCAAATGAAACTAGAGCCTCACTGAATTAACCTAATTCTAATTAGTAACCGATCAACATGGTGGACATTTAAGCCCTAATATTTTATTCATGATATTAATAACCGCGTACATTAATATATTGTAGTGTGTTCGTTGTATTAATAACATCGTTCATTGTCACAATGTACAACTCATTAATCAATGATTTAGTACATTAATATAATGAATATGTGTTTATTAAAGTTTCAGCACTAAAATAAAGAACGCGTTCATTGGGACAATGAACGGGTTCATTATATTAATGAAAATCTTACATTAATTTAATAACCAGATTTTCATTATATTGATGAAATTAGATTTATAGTATTATTAAATCGGACATCGATCTATGATTAACAAATCATTATATTAAAGAAAAAAATCATTGTCCCAATGAAACAATAGTTAATAATCAATGTTCATTAATATTATGAACAATATTTTTTTCAGTGAAGGTTTTCCTTGATTTAAGTAAGAACAATCTTCGGATTGTCACGGGGTTTCTAACAGGACACTGTCTCCTCAACGAACACCTCAGTCTGCTAGAAAACTAGTAGTGGGAAGATTCTTTGGGGGGAAATGGGGAAACACCAGAACACCTTATCACTGAGTGCGCCAAGACGACGACCGTTCGTGCCATGAACTTTGATGTCGAAGATGGTGAGCTGGCCTCTGTGGAGCCGTCTCAGATACTGGCTTTTGTTAAAGCCCTGAGACTGTATGATGAGTTATAACTCGTTATAACTCAAGAAAGGGGAACACACAATAGATCTGTAAGGTCGCGGTGACTAACTCCCCTCCTAAACATTCTACATTCTCTTCATCATTTTTAAA